CTATTTTCGGAAGCTCCCATTTCCTTGTTTCAGTTCAGAAGTGCAGAGCTTCAACGGTCGCCAGTGGTGGAGGAAATGGAAGACCCTTAAACCTTAGAAGGGGCCCCCACCCTGTAATAGTGGTATAGTAGGAAGATAATAGGGCCCGAATATATAATCCTTATAGTCACTATTACAGGGTGGGGGCAGCTTCTAACTTGAACCTTTTATCGTCCTGCGTTATGGTATATACTTAGACCCCCAAAATACCCTATAAGTATATACCATAACGATACTCGGACCCTTTGGGTATCGTCCTGTGACCGTAAGCAGGAAAGCGCAAAACCAATCCAAAGCACAAAGCCCCCCGAGATCCCAATACCCTTTAATTAAGGAATATACCGTCAATCATAATATTAAGGCCTCTATAAATTAAGGTATATTCCTTAATTAAGGGGTATTGGGTTCTCTGGGCCCCTCAGACCTGAGCTGCCCCTTAGCCTCGCAGCTGCCGAGTCTAGCAGTTGATCTTCCGCATATACTTCTGTTGATGATATAAATCCTGCATTACCCATAATAGGGAATATAATACCATAATTCCCATAGTTTAGGGTTCTTAAGATAATGCAGGATCTATATCATCAAACGTTGGACTGAAATTACCCCACGCCGCCGGCCCCCACCTCCCGACCCAAAGCATTGTTCTCACTGTTCAGGCCTCGTTATCGGTTTCTGGTGGCGGAAGGGCGTTGGATAACAATGTCAGGATTTCAGGAACTGGCAGCACCATGAACACGTGTGAAGGATCGGAGCACTTCTTTTTCTCTACGTAGCTCTAGTCATGACTGACTGACCATGTTCTTCTTGATCTAATGGAATTCAAAGACGGTCGAAGTGGCAATGACCAAAATGGTCACAACATGCGTGATGCTGGCAGAGCATGATCTTGGTGATGATGAGAGGATGGGGATGAGATGAGGGTGGTGATGGTGATGGTGACGCCGATGATGAAGGTACTACTGACCATGCCAAGAGACATTGCGTATGAGCCGTTTTCCATGCTTCCTGTGTGCATCGCCGGACTGAGGTGTTCGCAGAGACACCAGGCTCCTGCATTTGCTGCTTTTTCTTCTTTTCAAGCCTGTTGCAGGTGCAGTTAAATGGCTGCTTGTTTGTTGTGATGATTGAAGTCAAATTCTGCGGTGCCTAAGGGTTCTTGGACGTTTAGACGTTCTGGTCGGGCTTGGCATGAGTGTTTTGAGAGAGGGAAGAGACCGAGAGAGAGAGAGAGAGAGAGAGAGAGAGAGAGAGAGAGAGAGAGCGAGAGAGAGAAGAGTGTTGTTTCATGATAAGTGACAAGAAACTACAATGGAGACGATAGGTAACCCCTAAGCCCGAGTCTAATGATTCAGGCCACTACATCGGACCCTTTTGCTGGACACAGCCTCTCCCCTAAACCTTAATCCTTAAACCCCAACCCTTCAGCACTAGACTCCAAACCCGAGTCCGTAAACCCTGCATAATGAGCCCTAAACCTCAATGCCCTGTGCCCTCTGCGGAGTGGAGAGAGGCTTTCTCTTTCAAAAAGTAAGCTCCAAGCCGTTTCGTAAACACTAAACTACCCCAAACCCTAAATATTAAACCCAAGACAGAAATACACCCTAAACCCTAAACGCTAATCCCTAAACCCTAACCTAAACCCTAATCCTGAAACCATACTCCCTCAACCATAATCCCTGAACCCTAAAAATGAGCCTGAAACCGTTTCAGGCCCGTCTGCGACCTTCCGTCGCTCCCGTTTCCTAAGCGCCTCTTCAGGCGTCTTTTCCCTCTTTGCTCGGTGTGGGCTTCGGCTTTAGGGCTTTCCTTTAAAGGGATCTATAAGTTATAAGAGTACCTTTAAAGGGATCTATAGGGTTTAGGGTTTACGGGTTTACGGGTTAGGGTTTGGGGGTTAGGGTTGAGGGCCTTAGGGCCTTTAGGGTCTTAGGGTCTTATGGTTCATGGATTTCGGGCCTTAGGGTTTAGGGCTTTAGGGTTTAGGGCCTACGGCCTTAGTAGGGTGTTCAGATGGTCAAGAATAAACAGAGCTCCGAAATTAGTTTGTGCTTTTCAAAAAGGGTTCAGCAAGGCCTTTTTCTGTGTTTAGGAGGGCTTTGCGAGGGTTGTTTCGACGGCATGTGTTGCTGCTCTACTTGGGAGGCCCGGAGAAGTGGTAATGGTATTTGTTCAAATTCGTTCTATAACATGTAAATCTGCCAATACAAATGCAATTCGACAGATCATAAGCACATAAATTCACGTATATAAGCAAATAAATGATATCTGTATAATATATATATAGATATGTCTATATATGAGCATATATTATATTTATACAAAGGTATGTGTGTATATATGCTCATAGGTAGACATGTATATATATATATATGTATATATATATATATATATACATATATATATATATATATATATACATGTATATCTACACACACACACACACATACACACTTACACTGCAATGTACCCCGCAACCCCATGCAGCCTCGAACTGCCGCGCGGTAACTGGAGGGGGTTCAGCTCTCCGCTCCACCTAAATCTTGAACCCTAAACCCTGAACCTGAAGCACTCAGCCTCTCCTTAAACCTGCATTATTCTCGCGTTACGATCGCCTGACGACGGTGCCTAGAGACAACGCCTTGAACTGGAGGCTATGGAGCCTGGAAGTCAGAAATTGCTTTATTTTGGGTCAAAGGGGGCTTATAGGTACAGGATCCTTGTTATAAACCTCGGATTGAGGCAGATTGTTTTAATGATTTAGCCCCCTCTAACATGGCAACCCCTAGTATAGGGAGAGTTCCTTCTCGCAGACATGGCTTCGCCTTCACCTTTCCCGAGCAAGGTGCACAGCCGCGAGTGGTTTAGGTTCAGGATTGTGGACTCCGGGACTCACTCTGAGGATGTTGAAATGATGGTCACTTATGTAGGAACCCGGAAAGCTTACCTTTGGTTAGTAGGGAATGGAGGAATGGGGTACAATCATAACTACTATTACTACCAGTCTTCCACTCCCTAGTAACCAAAGGTAGGAAAATGGGATCCTTGTCCAGGGACGCCTAGGGCTGGTTTTCTGTCATCCCCATCTGAGAGTTTTTGAGGCCCGAGTAAGGCGATGGACCAGTGTAACCGTGTGTTTTAGGGTTTAGGGTTTAGGGTTTAGGGTTGGGGGTTCCTCACTACTGCTGATGGACAAAATCCTGCATTACCCATTATGCCATAATTCCCATAGCTTAGAGTCCTAAGGGTCATGCAGGATTTTGTCCATCAACAGTATCGTTCTAGTATAAGTATGATACACCCCAAAACCCTATTCTAATTATTCAGGCCCCCATATTATGGTTCAGGGTTTAGAGCTTAACGCAGGCATCGGGAGTTCCGCAGAGGGCCACAGAGATGCTACGGGTTCAGGGATTCGTGGTTCAAGGTGTGAGGTTTAGGGTTGAATATTTGACGAAGGGTGTTTGGGACTGTGTTTCCTAGACTAGATGAGACAGCACATGAGGTAGGGTTCGTTCATTCATGTTAATGGTGCATGTGCATGTTGAGCAGTACAAATCCTACATCAGATATGCCTGCAACTTACAGGTCCTTGATGATCCGTCACAGACTCACAGACCCCCTCGTCGTCCCTCAAGAACAATAATTCCTCCCAAACCCTGTTCTACGTATGCAGGCCCTCTATTATGCAACCCTTATGCAGCCTTCAAGCCCCATCTAGAAGCCTTTTAAGGGTTTAGGGTTTAGGGTTTAGGGTTTAGGGTTTAGGGTTTAGGGCTTTTAAACATCTTTTCGACTTATGCAGGCCCTACCTCGTATCACAGAGGTCGAATTCATCGCAACTACTACGCCCTTGTGGTGCCTTTATCTGCGTATCATACCAAGCTTGTTCGAATTAGTAAGGCGCCTACAGGAGACCCTTATAAGACGTCTGTGTAAAATCTAAGTCTAGCTACCAAGGCCACACTAATGAACCCTTACAGTAACCCTTATAATAACACTCGTAGCACCCCTCTAAACAACAGCTCTAAGTATCAAGGTCTTTTAGCATCTGCGCCGCCTAAACCTAAACTGCCCTAAACCCTAAACCCTAAATCCTAAACCCCTGAACCCCTAAACCCTAAACCCCCAAACCCCGAAACCCCTAAACCCCTAAACCCTAAGCGTCCGCAGACTGGCGGGGTGGCAGCTGTGCAAGTCGAGCAGGAGCAGACCCGGGGCCAACATGGAGGGGGCGCCAACAATAAGCTTACCTTTGGTCAGTAGGGAAAGGGGCCCTTACAGATCCCTTAAAGGATCCCCATTATGGTATCATAAACTAAAATCCTCAACCAGAACCCAGAACTTACCTTTGGTTAGTAGGGAATGGAGGAATGGGGTAGAATTGTAACTTCCATTCCCTGCTAACCAAAGGTAAGTCGGTGTATGTACGACTGCATACATGCATGTGAGTTTGTATGTCTGTGTCTATGTGTATGTGTGTGTATGTGTGTATATGTATATGTATATGTATATATATATATGTACATATGCATGCATACACACATATGTATACACATACTTGAAAAAAAGGCAAGTCTAAATTTGCAGACATGCATGCAGATGTAGAAAATGTACATATGTTTATGATATGTATATACGCAGACATATACTTATGTCTCCCTCTCACCAATGTCTGTCTGTTTGCCTGGATGTTGTGGCTCTGCGCGGGTGTCTCTACATATCTCCTCTCTTCCCATTGCTCGCTCTTTATAGCTCTTTTGCATGAATGGATGTGTGCATTCATGCAGATACATACAACCCCACAGGCACAGACAGGCACTGACACTGGCAAATACATTCACACACACAGATACATGCATCGGTGCGTAGGGGAGGGAGCGCAACAAGGTCAGGGTCAGATGACTCGTGTTTTCCCGAAGCTCTTTGTAAAGGCTTTTGCTGCCAGAAAGAGGGCCTGAGCTATGCCTCCTGGTCCGAGCGATGCTGGGATGAAAGGTGTCCTCTTCTCTGCCGTCTTGCCCCTTCTGGGCGCGAGCGCTGGCTACTACCAGCTCCTTGCGGGTGTGAAGAAGGCAAAAGCCGAGGTGCCTGGCTGCGATGGGGACATCAGCAAGTACACCGCCGTGAGCAGCATCATGCTGGCAGTGTGTGCAGTCTACGGATTCGTTGGCGCTTTTGTCATCAGTACTGACCTGGTCAAGGACTGAGGGGCTGGGTAGGTAACCTTTACCTTTTCGGCTTTTTGAAAACTCCTACCATGTTTGAAAGGCTGAGCTGTTCTGGGCTAGCCTTTCTCGGGCTGGGTAGGTAACCTTTACCTTTTGGGCTTTTTGAGAATTCCTGCAATCTTTGAAAGGCTAAACTGTTTTGGGCTACTGAAGGGATCATGGGACTTAGTAACTAGGGTTATAAGTAAGGCAACTATACTTATAATTACTTATAACCCCAATTAGGGGCAGAACACCACGTATAACCTTACTTACTAAGTCCCCTGATCCTGAAAGTAGCCTTTCTCGGGCTTGCGTACCCAGTGCCTGGGAGGAACCAGCCTTGCCAGAGAATTCCGCCTTCGCGGCGGGACTGGTGAATCTGGGTTCTCCAGAATGAATTTAGTTTTAAGGTACCATAATAGGGATCTATAGTAGATAGTATGGTTTCCTTTTTAAGGTAGCTTAAATTAAATCCTTTAAAAGAACCCAGGAATGGCTAAACCCTATAAACCCCAAACCTCCTGGTATAGGAATTCTAGCTGCGCAACAGGCAGAAAAGGGCCCTCAAAAAACAAAAAGCCTAAACCCAGGAATGGTCTTGCCCTAAAACCCAAAGCCTTAAGCCCTAAACCCTAAGTTCTGAACCCAGGAATGGCCTTGCCCTAAACCCAGGAATGTCCTATATAAGCCCTAAGCCCAGGAATGGCCTTGCAGGTACCATAATAGGGATCTATAGTAGATAGTATCGTTTCCCATATTAGGTAGTTTACATTTAATTCCCTCAACAAAAACCCAGGAATGACTAAACCCTAAACCCAGGAATGGCCTTGCTTCTGCAATCTCAGCCTTGGGCCAGGGCTACTTTGCATCGAAAGCTGTGGAGGCGGGAGCTCGGCAGGCAAGCGCCTTTGTGGCTTTTGTGCCTAGGTTCCGTTTAGGGTTTAGGGGTTCCGTTTTGGGTTTAGGGTTTGGGGTTTAGGGTCTGGGGTGAGTAGTACCCTTTTGCCATTTTTCTGGTATGGTTTCCCTACTAAAACTGAAGATCAGAAAGAAGGGTAGCCTGATTATGCAGGGATCACTCAGGAACCCTAAACCCTAAACCCTAAACCCTAAACCCTAAACCCTAAACCCTAAACCCTAAACCCTAAACCCTAGGTCCTCATCTTGATTTACATCGAGGCTTTTGCTCTCTATGGCCTCGTAGATAGCCTGGTGATCGGAGGCATCGCCCTTGAGAGCCAAGTCGATATTCATCCTGGCACTGTGATGCCCTTTACTTCCGTGTTCCTCCTTGCCACCCTTGGAGGTGTGGTTGAAACTTTTATGCAGACTCTTTTTCAAACCCAGGTCAACGACTGCTATTTGACTTTAAACTTGCTAGGATGCCCAGTAGTACCCTTATTCCCTTTTTGTAGTCCTAGGTTCCTTATAAAGTTACCCATTACCAAAAAAGAGATGCCTTTTTTATTCTTAGGTAACTGGGTATCCTAGCTTGCGAACATTCAGAGGCCTTATCCACTCTTTGCCACCGTTTTCTTCTTGCTTTTGACCACCCCTGGAGGTGTGGTTGGCTCAGCCGTCTCCGGCTATGCGATCATGGAGATCATTCCGATGAGACCTGATTTGGCCATGAAGTCCATGACTCTTAGACGTCGCGTAAGTCGCCTTTAACTTTTCGGGGTATCCTCACCTCCCCCTATATTTAAGTACATGTACATATCCATATATATATATATGTACATATATATATATCAATACATACTCCCAAAGGTTAACCTCATGTTCCCCCCCAGAAACTAGACCGGTAAGGATTCCAGTGGTCTTCAACGGCGTCACGGGCATCTATGGCCTGATCAACGGCGTCGTAGACACGCAACCATGGCTTACCTTTGGTTAGTAGGGAATGGAAGAATGGTAGTAATAGTAGTTATAAAGTAGTCATATAGTAGTTATATGGTAGTAATATGGTAGTAATATGGTAGTAAAAGTAGCTATGATTGTACCCCATTCCTCCATTCCCCACTAATGAAAGGCAACCATGGCCGCCGACGGGGAACGACTGGGCCGCTGGCCTCTTGTACCTCCTCTCTAGTCTCGGCTTCTGGGCTAGTGTCTAATGGAACGTGTTTAGGGTGTAGGGTTTTTAGGGTTTTTAGGGTTCAGGGTTGTTAGGGTTTAGGGTTTTCAGGGTTTAGGGTTTAGGGCTTTTAGGGTTTGGGGTTTAAGGTCTTTAGGGTTTAGGGCTTTTAGGGTTTAGTGTTTAGGGTACCGTAGTAGGGATCTATAGCGCAAATACGGTTTCCAGATTCTGGCAAGCCACGTCAAATTCCTCAAGAATCAGGCTTGAGCTACCATGGCATATAATTAAGGTAACTATACATATAAGTACTCATTAGGGGACTTATAACCTTCGTTACTAAGTCCCCTGATCCTCCAAGCAGGCTTGAGCTACCCTAGAAGCCGTAAGCCCTGAACCCTAAACCCTTAAACCCCGAAACCCTAAGCCCCTAAACTAAACCCCCAAACCCTAACCTCAGGCTTGAGCTACTATGGCATATAGTTAAGGTAACTATACATATAAGTACTCATTAGGGGACTTATAACCTTCGTTTCTAAGTCCCCTGATAAATATAAGTACTCATAACACCAATTAGGGGACTTATAAGTCCCCTGATCCTCCAAGCAGGTTTGAGCTACTACGGCTACACATGTGTGAAGGCCCTGCTGGGACCTCACCGTTTCGCGGCCTGGCGGAAACAGCCATCACATTGACTTCCCGGAACCCCCCAAACGCTAAACACTAAACCCTCAATAATAACCCCAAAGCCCTAAAGCCCCGAACCCTAATCCCTAAACGCTAAAAATAACCCCAAAGCCCTAAACCCCCCCGAATTTTAGAATCCTTAAACCCTCCACCGCAAACCCTAACCCCGAAGCCCTAAACCCCAAAACCCTAATCCCCAAATCCTCGACCTCAAAAGCGAATCCCTAGGCCCCAACCCCAAACCCCAATGCCTAAACCCAAGAAAGGGTGAGACTCCAGAGCAAGTGTGCTGATGAAGCCAAGTCTGCAATGACCAGCAAAGTCAGCTTTATAAGAGATATGCTGGGCTTCCTCCATCCAGGGGATCTTTAAGGGTTCCACTGAGGGATCTAACTATAAGGGTTACTATAAGTATAGTTCTCCGATATCCACCTTTTCAGCTTCTTGGGGTTTTGTTTTTTGGGGTTTAGGGTTTCGGGTTCTTAGGGTTTCATCCTGAAACTAGGATGCCCAGTAGTACCCTTATTCCCTTTTTGTAGTCCTAGGTTCCTTATAAAGTTGCCCAATACCAAAAAGAGAGGCCTTTTTATTCTTAGGTGACTGGGTATCCTAGTTTCTGCTGAGATCGAAATCATCGGCAAGCTAACGCTGAGCCAATCCGTGGGGCTTGCGGGTCTGATATACGGCCTCCTGAAGCACAGCAAGGTGCCTCGGTCCATGTTTGGGTTAGGAGCCTAGGGTTTCTTATGCCGCAATCCGTTGGCTCGGAGCGTTGTAAAGATCAAGTTTTGAGCTTAGGCTTAGGTCAGACTAGGTGTTTGGCTTTTCGGGTTTTGAGTGTTTTGCCGTACCTGGAGGATCAGGGGACTTAGTAAGTAAGGTTATAAGTACCCTAATTGGGGCACTTAGTAATTATAAGTATAGTTACTTTATTTTTAACCCTAGTTACTAGGTCCCAAGATCTTTTAAGTAAGGCTCACTTGTACGGGGCCTGTTGGGGTTGTGCCTTGTTGTTAGCCGTGGTAATTGAGAGAAGGAGCCTGCGCACGCAGTGCTTCAGATATGCCACCTCGAAAAATTCTAGCTGTGCTTGAAGATGCATATTAAATTCTAGTTTTGATAGAAGACGCATATTAATGCCCCCAAACCCCATGCAAGTCTCTTTAGGTCCCGAGTACAAGAACACCAAGCCTGAATCTCAAAAGAGAGAACAACTAGACCCTGAGCCCCACGCTCTACATCCCAAATCCATCAAGCCCGCAACGTTTCAAACATCTTTCAGCAGGGCTTTGCAGAGCCCATGGCACCGCTGTTGGCTTGGTTTAGGGTGGCTTACGGGGGGCTTAACTTTTTCGAGGCAAGCTTGCCCCACCTTAAACACACTTGAGAACTAAAGTAACTAAAGTTAGAGGAGTGAATCCCCCAAAGCGTTGTATAGATCCTTTAAGGAACCCTTTCTTTAAGGAGCCCTAAGTACTAAGGCCCATGATCCTTAAACCCTAAACCCGAAGCCTTGAGTGCCGCCAGGTGATTGAAGTCACATACGGTCCCGTCTCCCTCGTTGCTTCTGGACTGCAGCAACACCAGGCCCACTTTAGGGCTTGCCGGTTCAGGGTTTACCTGAAACGCCTTCACACAATCTGTCGAGGCCGCGCAGAAGAGGCCTCACTCAACGGATCTTGGGGCTTAATAAGTAGGGTTATGAATAAGGTAGCCATAATGATACCTAATTTCTCTCTAGTTACCATCCTGTAATAAGTGCCAAGGGTTCGGGCTTTCTAAGTACAGTTTAGGGTTGCGGGCTCGGGGTTTAGGGTTTAGGATTAAGGGTTTAGGATTCAGGGGTATGATGTTTGGTTGAAAGTTGGTGTATACACTTTTGGATTAAAAACGATAGCGCATTGGGTTTAGGATGTTGGGGCTTAAAAAGAACTCCTAGGTATATACCCTTAGTATAGCTATTATATACCCACTATATAGCCCATCATAGGGTAGGGGTCCCCATTAAGGGTCCCTCCTTTTCCCCTTTGATTTCCAAGAGGCCGAAGCCTTCGTCGCTTTATTGCTCTTCCTGGTGCCCCTGGGGGCTGCCCTGTGCGCCGTAGCCCTGAGACGTCGGCAGACTCCACTGGAAGCGTCTCTCCTGGCCTCCTGAAGCAGCAAAGACCCAATGTAGGGGCCTTCATAACTAGAACAAAGGTCCTTTAAAGGTTTCTTATAAAGGGTCTATAAGGGTTGCTAGAAGGGTTATTGTAAGGGTTTGGGGTGGAGCACTTAGCACTGCTATCCTCTTAAAGTCACAGCCCGAAGCCTTAACTGAAGCCTGAACCCTCAACCCTAATCCAGAAAGCTTAAACATTCCAGTTCCTTTTTCCAGCCTACGAGGATGACCTGCCCAGCACCGGTTAAACGCTTTCGCCTGAGACTTCAAGCCTGCTTATTCTTAACCCAAGACTCTGCGCCTTATGCTCAAACGCCCCCCTAACCCCCTCCAAACCCTAAACTCTAAACCTTAAACCTGACCCAACCCGACAAAGCTTGGCAAGAACAGATGCCGCTGCACAAGGCCACGGCAGGAATTCTTGGAGGTCCCATGCGCCGAGAAAAGCTGGGTTTGGAGTTTAGGGTTTGGGGTTTTGGTTTTAGGGGTTTACAGTAAACCCCATAAAGTTGGAAAGCGGATTAAGGCCAAATAGTGCTGTGTTTCCCTATATATGACTCTTAAGGAGTGAGGCTACTGGGTTTCCAACTTTTGGGCTTCTACTGTAGGGGTTTGGGGTTGAGGCTTGGAGTGTTTTCGTGATCTCGTAACTGGATCCTCTGGTTGACAAGCACAACCTGGCAGCTCAAAAGCATTCATACAAAGTAAAACTTTATTCCAGTATCAGTATCAATGCCAGTATTTCTGAACCTCCTCATTGCTTTGTTCTAAGAGTAAGTAGCTGCTTCTCTTCCAGTATGACTGTCTGGTTCTTAGTAGGGCATGGGGGAATGGGTTATTGGGGCTACTATGGGGGACCTTACTTGGAGGATCAGGGGACTTAGTAAGTAAGGTTATAAGTTTTAAGTACCCTAATTGGGGTTATAAGTAATTATAAGTATAGCTACCTTACTTAGAGGCCGAGTTACTAAGTCCCATGATCCTTTAAGTAAGGGACGCTACCAGGGATCCCTTCCCTAAGCACCAGGCAGATGAAGACAAGTATGTCCGAGGATCTGAAGTCGTCTGAAACGGCTACCTAACCCTGAAGCCTGAACCGCACTTACAGGATCATAGGGGTCCTTAAAGGGATCTATAGCGGTTCCTTAAAGGGATCTATAGGGTTTAGGGTCTACTTAGTATACTTAAAGGATCATAGGACTTAGTACTTAGGGCGGTAACTGCACACATAGTTACTTATACCCCGAATTAGGGTACTTACACTAAGTCCCCTGATCCTGCAAGTTGGGATTAGGGCTCCACCATACGAAGCCCCAGACAAAGCCTGACTACTTCAGCTTGACGTCGCGAAACCCTGCAGGGTTTAACCCGAAACCCTAAACCCTAAGACCCTAAGACCCTAAGACCCTAAACTCCCCTAAACCCTAAATCCTAAGACCCTCAGACCCTAAACCCTAAGACTCTAAACCCTAAGACCCTAAGACCCTAAGACCCTAAACCCCAAGCTCCCCTAAACTCGAAGCCCTACTCCAGGACAGCTTCGGCTTGCGGGGTCGTCCGGCGGTGTCTTTCACCGGAAGTGTCGGTGGGAGCCCCGGGTTCAGCGGGTTGAAGCAGGATGTATGATATCTATGTCGTAATTGAATGTGATTTACATGTGTGTGTGTGTGTGTGTGTTTATATGTGTATGTATATATATATATATGTATATATATATACACACCTACACACATACACGCACATACATTGCGACGTGCAATACTGTTTCAACTAGATGCTTTTCTTGCCGAAGCCTCCAGCTCTTCACTCTCCTCAACCTCGAAACCAAATCATCGCCAAAGCGTGTAAACCGCCGCAGCCCGAAAGCTCCTCCATGACAGAGACTCCAATGTCCTTGAATTAAGAAATAAACCCCTAAATTAAAGTAGTAGGATCCCTATATATGATTTAAGGTAGATTCCTTAAGAAAGGAATATTGGAGCCCCCTAAACCCCTAAACCCTATAGATCCCTTGTACTACCCCTTCAAGGAGCCCTTATAGATCCCTTTAAAGGAACCCTAGGAGACCCCCAGGCCGTCTCTGAGATGCCGAGGTACTCTTTCCGTGCGGTTCCACTGCCTTCCCACGGCCTTGGACCACATGGAGCTGGGAGGCCCCCAGGCCGTCGGGAGGCCCAAAAGCTTTAGGCTTTAGGGTTTAGGGTTTAGGGATCTATAAGGGTTCCTTAAAGGGATCTATAAGGGTTCTATAAAGGGTGTAGGGTTTCCGAAAATTAGGGGCTAGGATGCCCAGTAGTACCCTTATTCCCTTTTTGTAGTCCTAGGTTCCTTATAAAGTTACCCAATACCAAAAAGAGAGGCCTTTTTATTCTTAGGTTACTGTGTATCCTAGTAGGGCTTTAGGGTTTAGGGCTTTAGGCTTTAGGCTTTAGGCTTTAGGGCTTTCGGCTTTAGGCTTTAGGGTTTAGGGCTTTAGGCTTTAGGCTTTAGGCTTTAGGGCTTTAGGCTTTAGGCTTTAGGGTTTAGGGCTTTAGGCTTTAGGCTTTAGGGTTTAGGGCTTTAGGCTTTAGGCTTTAGGGTTTACTTTAGGGTTTGGGGGTTGAGGGTTTGGGGGTCGAGGGTTTAGGGTTTAGGGCTTTAGGGCTTTAGGGTTTAGGGTTTAGGGCTTAGGCTTTAGGCTCTAGGGTTTAGGGCTTTAGGCTTTAGGCTTTAGGGCTTCAGGGTTTAGGGTTTGGAATTTGGGGTTTAGGGCTTTAGGCTTTAGGGTTTGGGCCAGGAGGCCCAAAAGCTGATTCCACTTCGAGGCTCTCTGGATCTTCTCGAGTTGAGGGGTTACTTGGAAGGGCAGGGGACTTAGTAAGTAGGTTGCAAGTAGAGTCATAAGTACCCTAAATGGCGTTGCCCCAACTACAACCCTACTTAGAAACGACTTACTAAGTCCCCTGGTCCTCCAAGTAGGGTTCAGGGTTTCGGGTCGAGGGTTCGGGCTATGGGTTTTAGGGTTTCGGGTTCATGGTTTCGGGTTTAGGGTTTGGGGTATAGGGTTTCGGGTTCTGCAGGAGAGGCTATTGCAGTAGTGTAGAGGGTTCGAAGTGTCGAAGTGCAAGTACAGACCGGGAATCGCAAAGCCGCAACCTCATCACTTCACAATGCCTGTTAGTGCGAGTTCGGCACTGCGGGCTTTTGAATTTCAACACGGACACGAACAATCTAAACCTGGTCTCAACGGGATTCACCCTAATCATCCTAATCGACAGTAGGGGCTTGTGTTGTCAACGCCCCATTCTAGTTATATATGCCCCAAACCCCTAAACCCCAACCCTCAAATCCTCAACTCGAACCCCTAAACCCATAACCCCTAAACCCTAAAGTCCTAAAGTCCAAGGTGCTGTCCTTTCAGCTGTTCCAGGGGAGCGCTCGCGGCAACCCCGGGTCCTTTCCGGTTGCAGCTTAGGGCTTAAAAGGCTTATTGCCCAGGGCTCTAGGATTCCCAGTAGTACCCTTATTCCCTTTTTTGTAGTCCTAGGTTCCTTATAAAGTTACCCAATACCAAAAAAAGAGAGGCCTTTTTATTCTTAGGTTACAGGGCATCCTAGGGCTGAAAGGCTTGGGGCTTAGGGTTCATGGCTAAACCCTAAATCATAGACCCGACTTGGAGGGGCAGGGGACTTAGTAAGGGTTCTTAAAAAGGGCTCCTTAAAGGGATCTATGGGGTTCCTTACAGGGATCTATGGGGTTTAGGGTTTAGGGTCTACTTGGAGGGGCAGGGGACTTAGTAAGTAGGTTATAAGTAGAGTTATAAGTACCCTGACAGGGCTGAGGGCTGACATAGAGGCCCAGGTAAGTCGTTTTAAAGACCAGTAGGGTTACAATAGGGATCACTCCATTTGATAACCTCCTAAGAAGTCAAGGCTTGGGGTACCCTAAGCAACCTTCAGAGCTGCGGCTTTTCGCGTTTCAGAGCTTAGGTCGTTTTGTGCAGCCAGGGATCTACGCTGCCGACCGTTGTAAGGTAAAAGCCAGAAAGTTGGAATATGATTATCCTAACCCTTCTATGGTAAATCATAGGGTATCCTACCATGAAACCATATTCCAACTTTCTGGCTTTTACTTTAGAGGGACTTCAGGGTTGAGGCCTTGTCGATTCTGGAAGTTGCTGCAATTCTGTCTGTTGGCCACAGCTCAGGAACATAGGACCCAGATAGTTGGATCCAAAATACAAAGCCTAAGCCCTGCACCCTAGAACCCTGAACCCTGCACCCCAAACTGCCCTAAATCCTAAACCCCAAATCCTAAACCCACAAAAACTCAAGAAGACCCTGTAAAGGGAATCCTAGTTTCCCAAAACAGCTCCGGGCCCAAATCGCCAAAACCCGGAGCAGCCCATCCCAGAAAGCATTCACAGAGGTTTCAGATAAAATCCGGGTTCTCTTCAGGGGTCTTTGCATTTTGGATCTTGTTTGGGGGTATGCATTAAGGGTTGCCTATTTTCCGAAACTTTCCGTTAGTTCAGGAGTGGCATTCCTGGTGCTGGTGGCGCTGGGGATAGTTTTGATGTCGCGTACAGATACTACTTTACTCAATCAGGGACCCCTTGTTGCAAGACGCCCTCCAAACACGTCTACAACACCCCACAAACCCCCTTCGCGGAAGTAGTATGCCTTTCTAGTCCCCATTTATCTGTAATATGCTACTTGTAGCCTTCAAAACCCGATATTCTGTAGATCTAAATATGCCTAAGTCAAGAACCCCCAAACCCCAAACCCTAAGCCCCAAGTTAAGCCCTGAACCCTAAACCCCCCCTTGCCCCCAAGGCATCGGCGTCCACGTCTGCTCGTTGTCCCTCCTGGGACCGCTCCTGGGGGGCGGCTCGAGGCGCGCCGGGCTCTAGTTTAGGGTTTAGGGTTTAGGGGTTTAGGGTTTAGGGGTTTAGGGTTTAGGGTTTAGGGTTTAGGGTTTAGGGTTTAGGGGTTTAGGGTTTAGGGTTTACGGTT